AAGTGGCAGCATCGATGGACTCAAGCGTGGCAACAATAGTGAGGTTGGCCCAGGATTGGGCAGTGTTTCATTCTGCTGTGCATAAGGTCACTATGGGTTGGTACCAACTCGATGGCACCTAAAGGAGTAGGCACCTTCCAAATTCCTTACTAGTTGCAAATCTCTTACTTTGTTGCATCTTTGTCGCATCTTGGCATAGGAAAAGGACTGTGTATGAACTGGTATGAATTGATGGCTGTCATTTTATGATGCGGTATGTTTTTTTTTTTTTGTAAAGTTTGTCTGGTTGTCACAAATTTCTTTAATTTCTGTTTATCAGGAAGTATCCTAATTTCACCATCATATTTGAGGGACAGCTTTGCTGGCTATGTGATTCTTGGTTGGCAGTATTTGTTTTTTTTTTCCAGAGTTTTGTATGTGTCATCCCATTGCCTTCTTGCCTGCATAGTTTCTGCTGCGAAATCAGAGTTTAATCCTATTGGTTCTCCTTTGTAGGTAATTTTGTTTTTCCTGAGTTGCTATCAGGATTCTTTCCGTGTCTTAGGTTTTGCAAAGTTTGATTATGATATTTTTTGGTGATTTTCTTTTGGGATCTACCCTGTTTGGAGTTCGTTCAGCTTCCTTTTTTTTGGCAGCCCTTTTATGGTTTTATTTAGCACAAATGAAACTCAAAAATAGGTTGTCTATTCATTTTCTTCACTGTGCAGCTTGGTATTGGGATTGGTGACTGATGGCCAGCTGGGCTGCTCTTTCCACAATGGCTTTGCTGTTTTTGGAAGAGATGTTGTGAGCAACCTCTGCACAGTAAGATCTGTTGCACATCAGCAGCACCTCCAGCTGTTTGATGTTGTGGACCAGGAACTTGCAAAAGCTGATGGGCAGCATGTGTTTTGTCTTCTTGTTGAGCATTAAGATCTGGCCCTTAAATCTTCTCCACACCCTGTTGTCAGTGCCTCTGGGCTTGGGCCGGTTATGCTTAATTTTGACATAATGGTCTGATTGGTGCCAGATGAACTTCTTGGTCCTCTTTTTGATGATCTTGGGCTTCACCAGGGGTCTGAGGGCAGCCATGATGCCACTCGAGATGGCTGTGTTCTCCGTATGCAGCGCAGAAGAAGAGAGCTCATTCAACTTCTTGTATTATCTTCTGATCCTTCATGATGTTAGGGAAGCTTCCTTCCAGCATCTCTTCAACAGTTTTTTCTGTGCTTTTTATTGTTGGCTCTTCCTATTCTGGAATTCCATCACCCATAAGTTGTTCTTCTTCATGGTGTCCCACATAATTTTTAGGCTTCCTCTGAAGGTTTTCTTTTTTCTGATAGTTTTTCTAACATACTAGTATTAACAGATTTATCTTCAAACTCTCTAATTTGGGCTTACATTGCTTCAGATCTTCTTTGCCCTTCAATATACTATCCATTTCTGAAATCTTG